GGATTGTGAATCCCTTACCTCATGTACGAGAGGAGTTCTCTCACACACACACACAGACAGTCACAGTCAGTGTGTGTGTGTGTGTGCGCATTCGAAGAGGGGTCATCTTTTGGAGTTCGCTGAGGCTCGGAGGACGAGGCTCCTGCAAGGCACCGGCACCGGCGAACGTCAGTTTGCGAGCGCAGGTTTGCTCCCTTTTTTTCAGAAGGTGGAACTCCGGAGCGCTTTGGTTCCTTGCTGTGGTCAGTGCCTCAATGCCACATGCCAACTGAACTCCAAAAAGCCAAGTTTCTGTCTTCTCTTGTGACATATTGTGATTGCTCTTCCTGTTTCTGCTGCTCCATTTGCAACTTACTCGTGCTGCTTCGGCTCGTTGTGAAGCGGCGTTCGCATTCTCCCCACCCTCTTGTCCCCAGTAGCTGCTGCTGCTTCTGCTGCTGCTGCTGCTGCTGCTGCTGCTGCGGCTGCAGCGGTTGGTGTGGCTGTGCTTTCAGAATGCTACCGCATCTCGGATAAGCGTTTATGTTGTAATATTCGGCTTCTGGTGTTTGAGGTTTGCCATTCCCAACCATGTTCTCTGTCTCGCCGTGTAGGCTTTGCCATTCCCGGCTTTCGTAGAGTTTGAGATTTATCACCTCCGTTCTCTGCGCTTAGGGCCTCAGTTCAGGTTTCGGCTTCATGCGGTTTACCAGTCCCTCTCCTATGACAAACAGCAATGGCTTGGGCTTACAACAACTCGGGCCTAGGGTCTGGCAGTTTGCCTAGAAATTTGGGCTTGCCACGCCGGACAAAAAAACACCTTGGAGGAATCGGGGCCAGCAGTTCATCTGTACATTTGAAGGCACTGTGGTATACAGATATAGTTTGTATCAGGCAGTTGTCCTGGCGTGGGAGTGGGGGCCTACCAGGCTATTACAGGTTTCTTTCGTTTGCATTTCAATATCAACATTTTTCGTATGCTTGTTCGAGGGACCCTGCAGAGGCTTCGTAGCATTAGCCTATGCTGCCTGTGCACGCCAGGTACAGCTTCGTTCACTCAAAGTCGAAGATAAATTAAATAGTGTTGAGTAGTTGGCCAAGGAGGCTTTGCGAAGTGGCCGCGACCCGAATGAGCCGCAGCAGAAAGCCGCGTCGCTGTGCCCAAACTGTCTCGTGACATGCGACGTGCTCGCCAGTGTCGCAAAGCCTTGGGATGGGCCAAGGCGAGCGAGGTCTGGTTGCGGGAAGTTTCTGGGGTTGACTCCGCAGAGTTGCGATCTACTGGCTCGCATGCGGGTAATTGTGTCGCGACAAGGGCGCAACGTTTTCGCGAAGGGGTCGTAACAGCGTCGCGATAGACGTGCGACGAGTACATTCGAGTGCATCGCGACAGACTGGTGCGGAGTTGCTGCCAGCGAATCGCATGTCGCACACCGTGGTAAAGTGAGGAAGCTATGGAAATCCGAAGCTGTGCAGACAGAGACAGACGATGATGCCAAGTGAGCTAGATAAGAATGGGTTGCCAGTTACATAATGCTGTGAAGCTTGTCATCATTAGCACTAGAAGTGGCCGCGCCCAACACGAAGCGAAGAGAGCAGGAATGACAGGCATGCAAAATATGTGTCTTTGTCTTGCGACCAGCCGTCCGAGGTTGCCGGGCTTGCGCTCCTACTCTGCATAGTCGGGGCCGAAGGGATGCATCGCATGGCACTTGCCACATTTGGCGCCCTTTAGGGCCTTGTCTGCCTTCAGGTGTGGGGTCCTCAGCATGCGGCTGCTGGTGGCTACGTGCTGCTTGCATGATTTCTCTTGTTTCGGGTTTGGAGTCGTGAAGTGAAAGGTCGTGATGTCTGGGGAGTGTTGGCAGGTCTTGACGCATTCCTACGTGGGCACAAGCCCCACCAGTTCTGCATCCCATCATGTACTCCCTTGATGCGGCCGATGAGGTTTAAGTTTTAAGCATGAGAGGCAACACCCGGCTGCTAGAAACTGAGCTGGGTGCCAAGGCGAGGATTTCTTTTCAAAGTGGTCCTTCTACGTCGGTGGCGACCCCACGCACGGAACAGTGCATGCCTCAGGCATCAGGACAGCCTTCGAAGTCAAAACTTGGAGCCCTCTGATGCAGGTTAAGTTTCTATCCTTCCAGGACGCCAGTGCGCAAGGCTGCATGCAGGGAAGATCCTGCTCAATCTGGCGTGGGCTTACGTAGGACATGCCATTCAGGCCTCATCCATGCCTCTTTCGACCGCGTCTTCATGGGCACCGATGCATCCGAGGTTGAAAATCAGATGTCTGAGAAGTGAGAAGCGAAGGTTCCTCCCAGTGCTCGGAGGTGCTGCGGCCTGGGGAGGGTCGAAAAACCGAGACTTGGCTGCGTGAGCAAACAATCGGGCTTTCATGTTCGACGCTGACTAAAACAGGTCTGTTGAATATCTCTCTTGGTTGGGATGGTTGAGCTTCTGAAGCTGACGCACATGTGGCAGTCTTCCATCCAGCAGCATGATTATTGTCGCCACCGTGTTTTGCTTGTGTGTCCTGTGGGTTGAGGGTCTGCGCTCGTTACACAGACAGTAGAAGTCTTACCAGCAGTCGATGCTGTGGACGCAGTGGCTTTCAGCCAGCTTCTCAGGTGAGAATCGAGTGAGGCTCCCAGATTTGCGTAGGCTTCAAGCCGTTGGGGTATGACAGCCTCAGGTCCAACGAGTGGTTCAGGAACGGTCTCTTCGTTTTGGACCTAGATCATGCACCGGAGCCCAGAGAGCCCAGCCAGGTCATCTAGGAGGATGCCGCCTTCAGAAAGCCTTTTGCCGAGGCACCTTGGGGCTGCGGTTCTTGGCCAGCCTTCTGGATGTTCGGGGAGGACCAGGGCGCCAGGGCCAACTTGCCCTTCTCTCGTTTTGTCTCATTGCGTTGTCGCTTCCCGCGGCAGGACGCGCAGCATGTAGGTGGCTTAGGTGACCCAGAAGTGAGAGCACAGCCAATCTCCAGTCCTTTCCGGTCCCTCCATTGCTTCAGGCCTGGCCGAGGTGGGGTGAGTACGACATCGTCGAGTCCGTTCACAACCGCACGTGGGCTGCAACCACACTGCACACTCGAAAGGATTGTGCCATGTTCTCAGACCACAGCCAGCAATCGCCTGCACAGCAAGTGCAGCAATCCTTGCTTTGCGTGCATCGCAACAGGGGTTGCCGTTTGTGTCTTTCTGAGGCGCAGACGGATGTGAGCCGAACCCGTGACTTCAGTGGTCAGGGGTGGGTGCCTGGCAGTTACGGCACCAACAAGGCCAAGAACTGCTTCGTCCAGGCTGGAATCCAGACGAGACAACAGAGATGACACTTCGCGATCTTGGCGGCTTGGAGCGGCTTGGAGCGGCTTTCAGGCCCCCGGCGAGTTCGCGAATCAGGGCTGTGGCCAGGAGCAGCGCAGCACTCAGGGGACTCGTGGTTTGGCTCCGCTTTCACAGCGTGGCGAATCGCGACAAGGCCTTATGGCTCCTGGGGAAGGCCTTTGAACCAGGCCATGAACGCTCGAACATCACCGAGAAGTGGATAGCTGTGGATTTTGAGATCTCTCCAAGGCTGGCGGCGGGACATGGGCAGCGGAGTGGGATCCGGAGAACGAGTACATCCGTCCCTGCCCTGAGATGCCCTGAGCTCATTTCAGCGCTTTGCGTCTCTCAACTGCATCCAAGGCACTTGGTTTTTTCCGCGGGGGAAGGCACCAAAGCAAGTTTGGTGAAGAGTGCTGTCACAGCTGCATTTACCCGACATTTCTGAGTAGGTGCCCGCAGATCTGACCGAAAAGCGGCCACTGTCGGGTGCAGAGTGAGCAGTTGCGAATCTACTTCGTGCAGTCCCCATTCTGTCAGCTTAGACTTCAAGCAGCCCAAGCCCGGGGGGCAAACCATGCCAGGAATATAAAACCCGCACAGTGCTGTGGCGGGAGCAAGACTTGCAGAGGCAGAGACATGAGGGATTGCGGCAGGAGCACGATGTCTGGAAGCCTTAGATTGTTCAAACAGTTTGGTTTCCTGGGCAGATGTGGCGCGATCGATTCTTTTGGAAAGAACGCGATGCGCACTGCGGCACAGCGGGAGCCGTGAGGATGATAGAGCTGTGGAGCCGCCGCGTGCCGCAGGCGCAGGTGGCCTCTCGAGCAAAAGCGGTCCCTTCTGAACTATCACAGTAGTTTACACCCTCTATGTTCGGGGAATGACTTCTTGCTAAGGCCAGACAGCTGGGGGATGCCCACATCCTTCTTCTCGTTGAAGCAAGACGATTGCAGCCCTTGGCTGAGATATAAAGCCGTGGCGATCGATTTTGCCGTATTTCTAGGGCATGGTGTCTGGTATGTTTGGCTGACATGGCTGATGCTTGTAACCCTCATCGTTGCAGACACAAAGGCTCATACTGCTGGCACAGCGCATTCTTCAAGTTTGTTCGAGTTTGCAGAGGTGCCCGTCACTTTAGACGGATGCGATCGCACCTCAGATGTGGTTTTCCAAATGTAGCAAACACAGGCCCAGCCGGTGCAGGCATGTGTCTCAAACCGTGTCGACTCCACGCAAAGTCAGTTGATGTTGGTTGTCCTTCGTGTACTGTTCTACCTGAAACACAGCGATGATCAGCAATGCATGACTTGAGGGATGGTCTTCGACATCACTTTCTGTGGCGAATTTGGTGGCAACCTCAGAAGGTAAAATTTCTCATTCGCAATGCAGGAATGACAGTGACGGTCAGGTTCGGCGACCTTTGGTGCGAACTGTGCAAGCACTGGCCGGCCTCCAAGCACTTCTTATCACTTACACGCGAGCTCTCAAAGAGTCAGGACAGTCATGCGAAGAATACGTGCAGAAGAACCCTGCTGCACCATGCTCAGCGACTGCGGTTCGTGGAAGGCTGCCAGGTCTTGAAAGATCAGAGGAGCGTGGTGTCGAAGTGTGTTGCTCCCTTCCTTCGTTCTCGCTGCTTTGCCTCAGGCCTTTTCGGAAGCCTTCTGGTCCGTTCGAACCCTGGACGTCTACAAGAGGGGGCCACGGCCTCAGGCGTAGCCCGTAGACTCCCCAAGTTTCCTTTGCATCGCTTCTGAACTTCTCCTCTCAGGTCTGAGGCCGAAGGAGTAACGGCAGCCGAGACGGGTCTGGATTATGCATCACAGACATGCTTAACAGTCTTTATAAGCCTGCCCAGCCGGACTGGAGGAAGTGAGGTCTCACATGTTTAGCATTTGCGCAGCTTTTATGGCGTCGAACCTGTCAAGCTCACGAAAGCATGTGCCCGGATGGCCAGGGGACCCCTCCGAATGGTCCGAACGGTGCCCTCAGATCTGCTGCCTGGCCGCAAAGCAACGCTCACTTATTAACAGTCAACTCTTACCCAAAGGCAAGGTCCGTACCAGATGCGGCCCGGTTCGATGCCAACGAGGGAGTGCGGTGTCCCGAAAGGATAGTGCTCCCGCGGCCGCTAGAAGTACGCCCATGGAGCATGAACAGTGCCTGTCGCCTGCCTGGGACGGGGCGCTACTACGTCTTCGTCGCCGTGTTTTTTGGGCATAAATGTGCTCCGTTGGTGATGTGTCGTTTGTCAGCTTTGCTCACCAGGCTTTTGCAAGGGATGTACTGGCAAGCAGAGCTGCAGCTGGCGACCTACATCGACGATCCCCTGGTGGCAGTAGTGTCTTGCAGTTTCCTCCTTGTACTTCGTCCTTGCTTCAACCCGCCTTCTTCTGCGCCTTCTTATTTGTACTTTCACTCCTTGTGTCGGCTTTGCATTGTTACAAAGAGCGAATTACCTGCAAGAAATAAGATGGGATTGCAAATAATCGCATGTCGCGAAAGGAGTTCCTTCACCATCCTCCGCCAAGCTGTGCACGACGTCGTGGAAGAAGCAACAAAGGCATAGCCATGCGTAGCACGACTGTAGGCTCGCTCTCTCCTGGTTGTGGTTCTTTTCCTTGTGCGTGTTGGGCTTGTCCATACTGCCATGAGCTCCGTCTCATCGTCGCTGTTTTTCCCAGGGCCGTTTTGCTACCAAAGGTGATTGGATGTTCCTGATTTGGCAGCTCCGCTACCGAGTCAAAGACTTGGGTTTCTGTCCTGCTGAAACTCTACCTGTCCTGGGCGACACAGTTGCCGTGCGGTGGTGTCCTTTGAGTGTGCGACGACAAGTGACATTCCTGGCTCGCATAGTGCCTGTCGATGCTACACGCTGCCTAGCTTCCTGCATTGCGAAGATGTTTAGCAAGCAATCTAAAGTAGTTTTTTGGAAGCATGCTCAGATGGTTGGCTGTGATTTCCGGTTGGGTTGTTGGTCGGGACGACTTGGCATGCGTGTCAATTCGGCGTTCGTTAGTGTTTGTTGCACTGAAGCCTTGGCCCGGGCTCCCACATTGGCCAATGTAGTGGCATTTGCAATGAATGGTACTTTCAGGACGAGCCGCAAGTATGCAAGCATCGGGACAGGAGTGCCAACTTTTGTGCACCACGCTAAAGTCGGGACCCCGGGACGGAATAGTCCGCGAATACTTTGCGCACGCCTCGCGGTTAAGCTAGCCACTTGTCTGTACTTTCTACTATTCTATACTCTTAACGTAAGTACCCCATGCTGCGTGCCACACTGTTTGGGGAATGAAAAGCGTCCCGAAAGAGATTGAAACTTGAAAGCATTGATACGTTGGTCAAGAAGTTCTTGAAAGCTTGGAGGGAGGGGATGGGGGCTGGGAGGCGTCAGGACCGGCAAACGGAAGTCCTCACGGTAGACCAAGAAACACATCGCATTGGCGAGCCTGAGCTTCTTCTGCTGTGAAACATAATCTGCGCACACTCCCGCGCACACCTCGCTTGGGTCTTCATTGCGGTCGGCTCCAAAGCTGTGTGAAGTTTTCCAATCCCGTCACGCTGGACACCAAGTTTGGAGTTACATCATGAGTCGTGCTGGTATTTGTGTGCCTTCAGGTTGGTATTCTTTGCTTGGTGCTGGTCCATGCCTGAGTGACTCACAATCCTGATCCGTGCACCAGGCAAGGGCACACTGCTCGTGCCAAGGGCGTTGGTGGCTGTGGTGCCACTGCCTACTTTATGTACAAGAAGGTCACGTGCAAAACGAAGTTCTTAAGCAGCACATGCTTAGCGAGTTCGTTGCAGGGTGCCACAGAAAATGCGTCTTTTGTGGACATACAGAAAGAAGGCGCGGACCCTCTGTCAAAGATGAAGCGCCAAACCCATGTCGAGCTGCAGAGAGTTGCAGAGTTTTGCAGCAGTTTGCTGCTCGCGCGAGGCCTTTCTACATTCTCGGCGAACTTGCAGGACGGATGATGTGTGTGTGTGTGTGTGCGCGCGCGCGCGGGTGTGTGTGTGTGTGTGTCTGCACTTCTCTCGAACATGAGATAAGGGGTTCACAACCCTTGCACTGTGTTCAGTTCTGTCAGTGCAGCATGCATCAGTTTGACAAGTATGCAAAACATTTCGAGGAAGTGTTGCCTCGCAGGGGTGTCAGGCCCATCATACCTACCTGACG